CGTCCAACGCGATCTCGATCGTATCGCCCTCAGTCACGCTTACCCTGCTACAAACCGAGCACGACTGCTCTGAAAATTACTGTACTACCCTACGTGGCGTGAGTATTATTTTTTCCCCGTTTGCTACCTTTCCACATTTCCCACACCCCCCTTACCTTCCCTGCCCCCTTCCCTTCATAACCCCTCTTATTCACTACCACCTACTTTTCTTCGATCTTTTTTGCGTCCTTTAGTTTTTCATTTGTATCTCTTCTTTACACGTATATATATATTATAACTAACATTTTAAATCTGAGAAAAAGAGAAGATTTTGAAGTCGGGTGTTCGCTCTGGCGGAGCCCGCCTAAAAGTTCGAATATTTTCATCGGTAAGGGATGATTCTCCACTTTACCAACATAGGGGTGACTAGTATTTCACATTTTGGAGGAAAAACCGAACGCTGTCGCCATCCTACGGACGATGGTCGAACTACGGTTGCTTTTCCAACGTCAGAGGGGTTGTAGGGGTGGTTCGACATTTGCTTGGAGAGGGATGTCTTTGGTCAAGGTGGGGGAATTCTGTACAAGTCCATGTTACCCTCCTCGAAATTTCCTTCTCGTTCGTTATTTTTTTAATACGACAAATATTCTTGAGTAAATTATAAAGATTTAATTATTTTACATAAATATTTTCAAAGTCAATCATTTCGTAACTAAAACATTAATTATGTTTATAATAATTACAGTCATAGAGAAGAGAAATTCAAGGAAGTTAGATAAATCGAATCCTTTTTAAATATCACCTGGCATAGTTCGTAAATGTTTAGTAGATTATTCGTTACATGTTACATGAAATACAAAAAGAATGGTTTCAATTTAGTAGTTTCATTTTTTATTTCTCTCAATCCATATTTTTAGGAAATCATGAAATTTTGCCTCGTGCAAAATGAGCTGTCCGTGGTGTATCCCCACCAGAAAGGGGAAGAAATAGTAGTGGGGTTGAATCGATACAGCCACGATACAACGGTTGATGTCTTGAAACTCGAAATAGGAATGCGCACGCACCCCCTCCTGTCACGGGTCTATCGAGCCTCGAAACAATGTAACAGGAGCGGATCGTTTGTCGCGAACAGGTGACTCTCCCGTAACGATACAGACGTCGTACATACGTTTAGTTTTTAAACGCTAAGAAACAAAGCCTCCCCCTCGTCAATAAAAAAAAAAAAACGTAAGTACTCTTCATACTGATCATGGAAAACAAAAGAATTTCATGTGTCATTTCGAGGATAGATACGAGTCGCGTATCGGAGTCAATTGTTGGTGTGATTTTACTCTTGTCAGTAAAAGTTTTTTAATAATTATTTGCTTTGAAATTTAGTATTTATTGTTCTTATCAAATGTTACTTGATATAGTGATTTTAAGAGTGATTTTGCAACCTTATTTTGTATACATAAAGTAGTAGATGAACTGTAAGTTTACCACTGTCTTGTCATAAACATCGTCGAACTTTACAAATTACTTGATATTTTTTCTATTTCTCTCTCTCTTTCTCTCTCTTTATTATACATTTTTTAATATTAAAGCTTATAAAGCAAACAACATTTTCTTTTAATTACTAAATTTTTACAAGAAAGAAATAATGTAATGGTATTAAGAATTTATGTTAATGTGTAATCAGTAATTCTCAAATACGATCGAACGATTCAAGTGTAAGAATAAACAGTCGATATAGTTCATTACGTATACACCGGACGTTCATGAGTATGGAATGTCATCCGCCATCTCGAGTAAATGCAAATATGTGCTACGATGATAAAAGAGAGAGGGAGGCTTATAAATATAGGACATGACGATAGCGAGGATGCATACGATCTAATTGGTAAATATCGGCTAATCTAACAAAGTATTTACAATCACGTAGATCAATTAACGATTCTAATGTCGTTCCTAATGGTTAACGATAAATGTTTGACTAATGATTCTTTTCTTTCTAGCAGTCTCTTTGTTCTTTTCTTTCGGAAACCTGCAAAAGAATACATTAGAAGCTAAATTCATTATATATATGCATCTATTTCAATTGTAACGATTCATTCAACATGATTTGATCTGAATAAACATAAAAAATAAATATAATAAGAAAATCTTAAGAAAAAAAATGTTAATAAAATCATTTCAAACTTGTTATTAGAATAATAAAACAGAAATTAATGTAAATGTTTAACGAGATAATCATTGTGATCACTCACGCGAATATTTTATTTAAAAATATTTCTGTATTAACGGAATAGAACGATAGGCAATAGAAAGAGGAAGTAAAACGAGCGGAAAGTCTCGTGAGAGCGATAATCGTAAAATGTTCGAGAGAGAGAAAGAGAGAAAGATTGTGTGTGCGTACGTATGTGTATATATATAGGAGTAGTATGCGTGAGGGTAGTATTCATGGTGGGTGGTTAAAGTGTCAGGGCGAAAGCAACGATACAAGTTCGAGATGCATGGTACTCGAGAGCGATCGAGATCTAAGGGGAAAGCTGAAAGTTCGCGTGCGAGCGACTAATAAAGCGGTTGTCCGATATAAATGAAAAAAAGAGACGGAGTAAAGAAATATTTATTGAAATTGAAGTAGTATCGTGTGTGTCCAAAAAGAAAAATAAAGGGTAACGATGTAATCAAATAATGAATATTTTAAAATATATTTATACTAGGGTGAACCAAAAATTCGCGTGCGTTTATTTTGTTGCTTCAGATAGTGCAATTTTTTGAAGTCAATAAAATTACTTTATATGCAAGTGAAATATTAATTTAATAAACTCACAAACTTTTGGTTCATTCCAATAATATATTTAATATAAAATAAAAATCTATTGTGTTATGTTTTCAATTATTAAAACCAATAATAAATAAGAAAAGAAGATCTATAGATCGATCACATTGATGAAAGAAGTAAAAGTCGATCTAGGTTTTCCGTGTGATCTTAAAGCGTAATGCGAACCTCGAGTTTCGTTATATTCTACGTGTATACCTAGAGGGACAAGCACCCCTTTGCCACCCCTGTCGTTCACTCCAACGCGAAAACGAACGCGGGAGAGCGCGGGCGCGCGCGTACTCGGACTTCTATAACGTACGGGGGACGGGGAAGGCCGTGGAAGGGAGTATGAGGGAGCGAGAGACAGATTAATGTGACCCCGTCACCGTTTGAACAAAGCTTCGCACAATGGCCGCACACACCAGGGACAGTGGACGATCGCAACGAGAGACGCTTGCAACGATCTATGCTTACGGATGGCTGGGATGGTAGTTTTGCTATGCGAGCGAGTGAGTGAGCGAGCTCTCTGGATATATTACCCGCCACTCGTGGCTATCACCAATGAGATTCAATGCGTGATCATGCCAGTCCGCCAGCGTTCCCTCGTTTTCTTCTCTGTCATTCTCTCTTTCTCTCTCATTCTCTCTCTCTCACATACAATCTCATGTCAACCTCGATACAAGCAGATATTCTACTAGATAATCATTCTTTTTCGTGTTTTTTTTTTCCTTTTATTTATTTTATCTCTTTATCCTATCGCTACCGTTGCATTAACCCTTTCTCAACGCTTTAAAATTCAACCAGATGATAGAGAACAATGAGAGATGAACAAAAGAAAAGAATGAATAAAAGAATAGTCTAAACAAGCTTCTTTCGTTCTTTCCTATTGAATGCATTCCTTAATTTGGTATTTTTTTTTTGTTATCGAAATATCGTTTAATTCTGTCAGACTAATCTTTGGGATTGACTACTTGCGTGTTCTCCAAACCATGCTCTTCAATTATGCCCTCGTATTTTCGTTCATATTTCCTCGATCACACTCATTCCTGTTACGTGAAAGGGGACGGGGGTGAGGGCGATGATAGTTGTGACCACACCCCCCGGGCGTGGGTTTTCCTGCGCGCGCAGAAAATTCTTACTTCTTATCGGAGGGACTTCCTATTCTGGCTCACATTCTGCGAGACGATAGCTAGAAGGTTAGGTGTGATAGACAAACCGATTTGAGAAAAGGATCGGATTTGAATTCTTGCTTCACTTTATCTTGTATCTTTTTTTTTTATTTCTTTTCTTTTTTTCGATCAATCTCAAGAAAGAGTATCAAGGGACGACGAGTTTTCATGCAATAAACATATATTCCAACCTGGTAGATGGGAAAATCATAAAATAAACAATGGCAATCGAGTTGCGATTGGAAGGATTGTGTTACATTGTTTGAAATAAATTAGATCCATTTCAAGGATTCAATGAAATCGTAACGTTACTCGATAACAACGATATAATATGGAAGATATTTCTTTTCCGATTAAATGAATTTATATTATCGGGTAAAAAAACAATGTTTAATCTCAAAGTATTATGATTATGTTTCTTTTTTTTTTAAAGTTCAAAGAAATAAGTACGATCATGAAGACGGTGGCACGATCGGCCAGCCTAAAAATGTTAGTTTCAGGTTCTTAGGTATTTTCGCTATGGTCTCCATTAAATCACTGGAAAATCTGTTCCAGTGCCTAGCGGCATGGTCGCCACGCCAGTGGAGAATAAAGAGGGGCTTATTATAAGCGACGTTAATTCTCGAATAAATAACCGCGGGCTTGCGCGAAGATCGAGAAGAGAAAGAGGGTTGTTCTAAGAGTAAGAAAGAAAGAAAGAGAGAGAGAGAGAGAGAGAAGGTGAGTAAAGATTGAACTTGGAAAGAACGATGAAAGAGAAGGAAGGAAGGAAGGAAGGAAGAGAGGGAAGAAACGGAAAAGGGATGAGAATGTAGGTGGTTGATTTATTTCGGCGCCGCAAAGATCTGGATCCGCGTACGTGTCCCGTGCTTCAAATTACCAACTTATAAACTCTCTTCCTCTCTCTTTCTTTCTTTAGAAAACCCTCTCATAGATCATTTCATTGTACGAACAGAAAAGCAATATGTGCCCAAGTGTCGACACCTCTTCGAATTGAGGAAAATGTCATCGAAATATCTCTTTTTTACAAATTTACAACCATCTCGTACCTTCGCGGTCGATAGATCCTGCTGATCATCGCGAGTCCGTCTTTCCTCAGCCGGTCGTCTTACCTAAAACAATGGAGAACAATCTTCAATAATAACGAATAAACGTTCGGACATATTAAATTTGTACTTTAATAAATTGTTATTAAATAACTGTGATAAAATTGTTTTAGCAATAATTGGATTTACATATTTATGCATATTTATTTTAATTGCTTGAAATTCGATTTTACATCATATCGTATTAGAGAGAAGAAAATGGGACAAAGACAAACGAGAAAAGAAGACCGAACAGTAAGTCGAGGTCCGGAAAGTCTAAACTTTTTACAGCGGTGTTAGCGCATTTAATTTATCTGGCGATAATGGGGACGAGGCAGCGGTGTTGCGTCGAGGAGAAGAAGAAACGAAGAAAGAAGAAGAGTAGGAGGAAGGGTGAAAACCTCGAGCCACGAGAAGAACAGAGAATCCTTATTAAAATTCATTAATTTCGCCCATCTATGAAAGTTTCATTTTCATGCAAATCTGAGGAATAATCCGGCTGAAAAAAACCAATTTGAATGACTTCGGAAGAGTCGTGCCGGTCGCTAGGGAAACTTGCTTGTTGTGCGAGAGTATGAACGTGCGTACGCACAAAGTTTGACTCTGTAAGTGTGTATGAGAAAGAAAGATAGAATAAACGGTACGTCAAACGTGGCAGGATAAAGCGACATCGTATTCTTACTAAACGGTATTATGCAAATGACGATCCCAACGCATGAAATTTTGGATAGCACGAAAATAAAACTAATGTGATGGAGAAGAAAAGCTATTTCCTGTAAAGCTTTGTAAAAACGATTGAAAATAAGAAAAAGAGAAATAGATAGAGGAAGAGTGAGAGAGAGAGAGAGAGAGTGATAGAAAGAGAGAATGATTGTGAAGAAAGGGTGAGTGAGGGAAGAGAGAGTAGAACGAGCGAACAAATCGTCACGACAGAAATCTGGGCCGACGTGCAATGAGTGATCGCACGTTTCCAGTGGTAACCTCGAGAGAAGCGAAATTTTCCAACCGACAGCCACGTCAAAACGATTTGTCGTCGGCCTTCTAAAGAGAAATGCGAGTCACTCTCCCTTCTTCCTTCTTGTGGGCGGACGACAACCATTTCCTCAAGTCTCAAGAAATCATCCCTTACTCCTATCCTGTTTGCTCCTATCTCTGCCTTTGCACACGTGCATTCATGAAGGACATACGCAAACTGGAAGGAGTACAACCTTCTGTCGATTCTTTTTATTTTCTTCTTTCTTCTTCTTCTTCTTCTTCTACTTAGTCTTATTTTCTTTCCTCTTCTCTTCTCTTTCTTTTACCATTTTCTCAGACCCTTCTTATCTGTTTGCTATTTATTTAGGAGGATCGGACGAATGGCACTCGACTGATACCAAGCGGACAAACCCAAGCGATGCTGGAATCACCTCTTAAGAATACACATGCCCCAGGTGACGGCTTATCGCGTTTATGCAACATTACCCTTTCCCACCGTTATTTACACCACTTTCCATATTTTTTCGTTACTCTTAGTATCTAACCGTGCTTTTATTTTAACGCTCTGTAAAGCAGTTTGAGAAATAAGAATTATTATCTGCCACACTTATTCAATTTTTTTTAAACATATTCTTTAGTTTTACTTTTAATTTGACGAAATATTTCTATAAGATTTGTTTTCATTGTATAATGATCTTATAAATCAAAGGTTGTTTTATTTACGTTATTTATAAAGGGTTTTATATCCTAAAGAACCTAAAGGATATTGACGATTTCGTTAAATTCAGTTCGCGTGACAGGAAGTCCTAAATTGCGTTGTCGTTGTAAGTTGCGACGCGTTAACGATTACGATTAATCGTTTCGACGTGTTATCCGTCGGCAAACGAAAAGATTCAATCGATACGATTAACCACGATATCGAGCGTTATTTTGATTTCGACGCTCTCCCACCCACGTAAATCGTGTTTTCTGTGATTATCGAATTTACCCATCGACTCATGCGCGTTCATGAAAGTGCATTTATTTTCAAAGAAATTGATGAATTTGCTTTATTTTCGTTCAGCAGATTTAAATATCGAATTGAGTTCGCTCATATGCACACGACCGTCCCATCCACGTATCCCGACTATTGTTTTGCATAATATTTTTTTGCATTTTCTTTTTTTTCACCACGATAAACATATCTATTTTTCTAAACTAAAGACATTTTTTGCTTATGAAAAACGTACAAAAGCAGAAATTTTCAATTAATCGGATAATTGGACGATGATGCGTGAATAAATATTTATATTAAAATTATATTATAATATGAAAGAAAGAAAAGGAGAATTTGAAAATAGTTATCTTTGTAAATAACGAATTACGAATAATATTTTAACGGTTCTGTTCATATCATTTTTATTTACTCTTTTATAAAATGTAATTTGCTGAGCGTATTTCGTGCTGCAGTCAATTCGAACGATCCCGGTCGAGCGACCGTTGTCGAATTTTATGCTTGAACGATTATGTTAATATGGATAACGAAGATAACACGACCGCATGCATGATCCTACCATCTCTCTCTCACACACACACAAATACACACACACACTCACTTGTGCCATGTACACTGTTTTCTCTTTCGTACATACCTATGCAATTCCAGTATATTTTACGAACACTTCCTACTTTTTTGTATTTTTCTGCAGCCCTTCGATGAAGCGCCCTTTTGCGATGCTCGGCAGCATCGTTCTAGGGCGCATACGCGAATACACATAAAAATATGCGGACTTGCGAGGCTGCACGAGTTCGCTGCATAATCATGCAGTCGATGAACGCGAGGGAGTTAACCATGCGAGAAAGGATAGGGCAGGGAGAAAGAAATTTACGGGGATCCGCATCGAGTACGATACTATTTTCTGTCTCGTCGTATATCATTCTATGTTCCCTTCGCTACGTAACCTTCCAATTTAATGCATTCTTTGTTAATATTCAGTATGTTATACATTTTCTGGCATAGGTGACGTCCAAAATTATTATTATTATTATTTTTAATGTTTTTTATTTTTTAAATAAATACCTACACGAAATATTATAGTAAAAAATAATGTTAATTTTAATTAAGATTTTGTTTTTATCAGGGAAATAATCGTTGAGTTCTTAAAGGTTCGTAGAATATGAAATAAATCGATAAATATCAAAGCGATTTGGAAGTATTCGACAAATCGACAGAGAAAGATACTCGATAAGGGAGATACACGAAGTTTCCATTCGTCTTACCTTAGCGAATCGGAGGTCTGCCCGCTGTCAAGATAAAGGATGTTTAGGACAGTTGGCTGAGTTCGACGATCGATGAACCTCTTCTTTCTGTCAAAACACCACATACAACGGTTACCGTTCCTTTTAAGAGATATGGACAACTCTCGAGGGAAGAAATTGTAGGACGATGAATCAAGAGTTGAAAAGGTGTCGAAAGACGGCTGTCGGCCATTATTGTCGTTTCTACTTCCGACTATGCTACGTCTATATTTTTATTATCGTAGTGGTTGAAGGAAAGACATTTAGTAATTGTTTTCCTGTTATTCGTTTGTTCGAAGTTTTAAAAAGAACACGAAAAGAGAAATAGGGAAGAAATATAGTGCGTCCCTTTTGGATCGATTTTACGCAAGAAAGACGAATGAAACGTTGGTCTGGTTTCTCTAGGATAAAAGAAGCCGATATGGTCGATATACGAGCGTAACTCTTATCGCGAAGAAGCCGGCGCGTGGAAGAAGAAACATCCCTCGTAAATATAAAAGGTATAAAAGCTACCCTTTTGATGGAGTGCCCTCTTAAGGGTCAAACTGGTATCGGCTAGTACGTTCACCGCAGGATGACCAAGAAGAGGATCGAGTAGAGAGGTTAACGGGTATGCGGAGGGTAGGTCCTTGAATCGTTGCTTAACCACCCTTACTTTACGGTCTCCGTATTTTGTTTAAAATTTACCCTATAAAACACAGGCACACCGATGCCATTCGATTAAATGCATAACTTCCAAACGCTAAATTGACTTTATTTTTTCTATACTATATATAATTAATCTTAATCAGGTATAATCTATACTCAATCATTTAAAAATATCATAGAGAATTTGATTATAAAATATTCTTTAGAAATTTCAACGTATCTAAATAGTAGTGATAGAAAAAGTTTTTTGATTATAAATGAAACAAGTTCGTAGAATTGCGTATAATAAAATACTTTGCAATTCGATATGTTTTCTTGGAAAGTTAACAAACGACATCGAACATGAATAAGAAATAGCAATTGGAAATTCGACGATGGTAGAGCCGATATCGTTTTCATTTTCACCCCCTGGCAATATAGAAAGCTATTTGTCTCCGTAGCTGAACCAAACGGGTACGATGCGATGATAGAAAGCATCATCGAAATTCAGAAGAAAGCGTCACAAGATATTCCCATTTCCTACGCGCCATCTCGGTCATATGGTATCGCGTGTCGGCCTGTTTGCTTAAGGATATCAACGAGAGACGCAGCGGTAGCTCTTGCTTGCCAGCTAGGGGTGAATAACTTATGTTTACCCGCATGAATTCTCATATTCAGCGTAGCTTAAAGCTGCAACTTTTCACGGCGTTAAGCGATAACAAGCTTGAATAGACCTGTCATTTAAACGAGTCTCTTAAAAAATCACTTTTCAACAATCTATATTCTGTCTCCCTCTTTTTCACACATGCAGACATATATCTAAATATTTTGAAACGAATAGAATATATATATATATATTAGAAATAAATTCAAATTAATTAGAGAATTGAAACGTATTTTAAATTCCTTTCGTTGCAATCATATACAAATCGATTTACATCAATTAGAAGAAATAACAATTAAAAGGTAAAATACAAATGAATAGAAGTTATATTTCTGAAAGTTAATGAAAAATAAAATTAACTATAATTCCATATCGAATTAATTCAGGTATAGAATAAACATTCCACGTTTTGCACGTTTTGGTAGGTTCATTAAGTTTTCGATATTGGTATGCGAAAAACAGTGTATTTAATTAATATAAAATT